TATATATATCGATATGTGCCTGAACTTTATTTCCGTTACTGTACCTGTCGCAGAGTCGAGGTACGCCACTCAGCATCGAATCAGGCTCTTGAATGTACACCGATTTTCCGTCCAAAACTTTGTTCATGAATTGATCACTAAAGATTTCATTTAACGTCAGCATTGTCTTTAACCGTTGAATTCGATCATTGATTATACGGAATGTGGTGGGGTATTTCTCCTCGAGAATGACCATCGTGGGTGTCCCGTCCCAAGCTGCCGGCTCGATCTCGGGATTGTCGACGATCTCTTGAAATGTATTAAGTAGCTTAACTTGCTTTTTTACAGCGGTATTTGAACGCAAGACACCGGTTATAATTTGGACGATGATAAATGCGCCACAGCTCCACGTGGCTAGTGTGATCCTCGAAGGCACGGTTACAAAAGGGCGATTATTAATAGGGTCTTGCAGAAAGATGGATGAGGTGAGGTAGAAGCATTCGTAAAGAGACAGCTTTCTCTGGTTTGTTCTTTGCGTGACGTAGAATAGACAGGGAATGATTACGCACAGCATTAGGATACAGATTGACACCTTAGAGGAGAACATTTAGGAAAGAACAAGGTTAGGCAAAAACGATAGACAGGGGTTGGTAGGAGGAAAGCAACTTTAGGATCCTCTACTTCGTGACTATTCGTTGCACATAAGAACAAATGACGAGTCAATTGATGACTGCATATTGTATTTTACGTCAAGTGCGTCGGAGAAGCGTGATCGATTCGGTCAATGATTAGATGCGTCTCTCGGTTAGCTATCATCTCATTTCGAAATAATCATAACTATCAACAATGCTGGCACAGGTCGGTATCAGAACTAATCCTAAAGATTTTAGTTTCCGTAAATATGAAAACAATTTGACAATAGAATACTTGTAAGTCAAATGGTGCAGTAATAAGCTCGGTATAATAAAGATGTCGATATCCGCTGAGAAAGCAGAATTTGCTGAAGGCATGCGGAAATCCTGGTTCGAGTTCCGTTACAGTGACTGTGCTTTGAAAATACGGTCCTACCGCAATGTCGACTTCACCTGAATAAAAAAAAAACACGCAATTTTCAAAAGAGTATAATAAAAACGGAATAGTATTATTCAGCGAACAAAAACGGCGCAAGGAGAAGATTAATTCAATTCCAGACCGTACTGAATATTCTGTAATATTCGCTATAACAGGTTTATCTCGTTGTTATTTTAATGAAAGAGAGCCGGAGCGCCGTTACGTCGCAGCTCACTGGGTCAGCAACTTTTTTTTTTTTTTACTTGTGTCGAACTACGTTTGTTATACGAAGCCTACGTTTCCCATTCAACACGCCGACATTCGACCTAGAGGGTTGTATTGGCTTTGAACACTTACCATCATAAGCGAGCCGTTGTAATCCTATATAGGTACCATTGGGAAGACGGCTTCCCCATGCGCCTGTTCGAATGATGTCGAGTTGAAGTGTAATGTTAAGTGCTTTGGTTATATTCAGAAACGCGCTAAGAGTGGTGCCCTGGTAACTTATTGCACCTGTCACAGGATCAACTTCTTGCCAGGAAAACGGCGCCAACAGCATAACAGCTGCGTGAACGTGAGAACGAATTCCCATTACGAAAACGCGCACAGTGGACGAGCGTCAAAGATACAATGTTTTATTGCTGTTTGTTTGTTTGCGACTCTGCTTTTAGCTTTTCTATCAAATTGCCACGATGCCTCTACCAGCGCGTATGTTGTAGACGGGTAAACTGTGACGATGTCAGAAAATGATCCGAACGCTCTCGAACTGTCGTCTATGAGCTCAAAAACAATCCATTTGAATCAATCTGCATACAAATGGTCAGTGGTTTTATTGATGCAAATTGTATAATTTGGCGGTCATTACCGATAGTGAGTGGTAAGGATTCGTCGGCGGTGGAGATAAGGAGGGCTCAGAGGGTCACAGCAAATTGAAGAACCAGGATATGGCTAGTATTATTTAGCCTCCCAACCTGAGAGATATACTCTGTGGACGTAATGGGGATCAAATCAATTTAGAGACAATATATCTAAAAAATATGAATATCTATCAACGAGCAGTTTGGAAGTTAAATAAGGACATGCTATTTTCTAAAAGCATAAAGTTTATATCATCCATTAGAGCTATAGTTCACCAATCGATAACTAGGAAAAAATTGAGCGGTACCCATTTCAGGGGGTTACTTAACCGTTTTCAGGCTGAAGATAGGTTTTAGCTATCGAATAGGCGACCGTTTAGATACGATCTCTACAAACAGCAGCAAATAAAATCGTGTTGAAATAATAATAATGCTTTATTGAAGAAATACTAAAGCCTTTACTATGCGGCATACCCAGAAAAGAATTCTTCGTCTCTTATAGATGATTGCTGTCGCTCGATCATTTTTTCTCTATATTTACATAGTTGTCTGAGAACTTTATTGTTACAATTACAACTTATTTATTCAGTATTATTGGCAAAAAAAAAACAGTTATACGTTGGTTTCCTCGTTTATCTACACCTTGGCTGACAAATACTATGAAGCAATGCGCGTTTATACGCGCTGCGGACTTTCAAATATTGAAGACGCTATTTTATCCAGCCGAAGCTAGTGCTTTAAGTGCTGACAGCGTTACCCGTTGACCTCCCATGAGTCATATCTGATACTTTAGCCGTCGGTCATTACTTCAGATTATGGGTCAGCTGGGTAATATATATCGGTAACATATTATCTATAACATGTGAATTGTGGTTGACCGCAGCTGTACTGGAGTCTAGTCGTCGTGTTTGAAAAATATAGTGGTGCGTGTGTCGGCCGTAATTAGGTATTTTCTAGGCAAAAACATTTCTGCCTATATGAAAACGTTTGATGTAAATACGGGCAGAAATCAATCAATTCCTGAATGGAACCTGACCACTATCTTCAGTTGTGACAGCATAAGGAACAATGCATTGTTCTGAGATCAGAGATATGCTATGAGTGGGATTGCTTGCTAGTCGACGCCCTGAGCTGTCGAATGTCGATCATCGTTGCTAGGCTGGACCGCTTTTTCGCGTGTCTGACTAGGGAATTCTAAGTACCCTGTATATGAGTCACTTCAGCTTCTCATTTCAGAATTTCGATGATCTTCAAATATCGGCTGCAAATCGTTACCACCTATTCTATAGAAATTTTATATGTAATACACGAGGTAATAAAAAAAAAAAAAGGTATCAAAGAATAAAGTTAGTGCGTCATGAATATCAGTGTGGCATTCTCGTCAACTAATATGATCGTAGTATTACTGTAAAAAGTGTAAAGGTGCACCTCTTACTACACAAGTGCATTTATCTTATGGCATTATATATATATATATGTACATATGACTTTCTTTCCATACTCAGTGTTTGCTTAGACTCATTCTGCTACCAAAGAAGTCTGGCAATTACGAAGTCATTGGTTGGATGGTCATTTGGTTGTAGTTTTGAATAGAATTGACCAAAAGTTGTACCGGTATCGTGTTCCACCTTCATTTATCGCTTTTCTTATATTTCAAATATCGAATTGTTCTCGATATGCGTGTCTCATATAATCAGCTTTGTTTATGTACGAATATGGGCCAAAATCATGGATGCGCATCTTGCTAACACATATCATACCCCATCGATAGAACCCCAAGCCAAAGATAAAATTTTATCAATATTATGAATATTTAGCATAGAGATAGATGAAGGCGTGTTTGATGCTATACTGAGCTACTGTAAACCACTTCATTTATAACAAAAATGAAAATCTCAGATATATTTTGGACTAATACTTAGCTTATTAGGCAATTGCGGTTATCTACTTGCTGCTCACCCTTGTTAAGATATTCCAGAGTGAACTACAAAATGAAATAAATTGGTCTATAGTACACAGATAATTAAAGTAATGGGAGCGTGTGCTGAGGTATATTGAAGACACCGAACTATCTTAGGTTATTAGCTAGGGCTCCATCGATGGTAACGTTGAGGATTTGAAGACCCTCTAGGATTATGATAGCTGAATTAATCAAGTATTATTATATAATTTAATGTTAGATGAGTAAAGGACTTGTGGCGCATACAGTTACTCGCGGGTTTATACGTGCTCTAATAACAAAAAAAAATTAGACCTAAGATGTAGCCAAGGTAAAAACAAAAAAACTATTATATATGTTCTACGGAGCGACTTTCAGTACTACTACCCGTAAGATTAGGCTGCATTACAAATGTAAATATACTTGAATGAATAAGGCATCTTCCATTTGCGAATACACTGCACGTCAGTTCGAAGACTCATATCATCCGGCTACTAAACGTTTCCTGTCCTCTTGTCGAGTAGTGCCAACATTTCTCAGTCTGAACGTTCTCCTTATCGCTTATGGAAAGGACTTTCCTGGTCCTGGATAGAATGATTGGATACAGTTGCTTGCTTTGAGGATACTTACGTATGATAAAGAGAGAAAGTGAAATTGGCATTACGGAAAAAACAGTGCTCCCATTCGGCGCGGACCTAAGAGCTAAATAAGTTAAAACTTACTCATATGTAGATTACAGTTACCTTATGATTCTTTACTACCATGATAGCTTTGCAATAAACATCTTCTAAAGTTCCGTCTGTTCAGCACTTCGAGCTTCTATCGCCATTTCTGCTTGAATTCCAAGTCTGGCTTCCTGCAGTCTGTAAACTTACTTTTTGCCTACGTCAACCTCAATTGTGGCGGGCCATAATCGGTTTTTACGTCCGGTACTTGAGCTATTGGGTATTGTTGTAAAAAGCTGGTCGGTCTCCATAGAAAACGAAGTGTGTTTTCGTTCAAATTCGCAGCTACACCGTTATCTGCTCCTAAATTTATCAGACGAACACCACCCTACTTACACACTGCCCTATCACGGGCACGCCTTTCGGGCATGGTCGGGTTAAAAACAGCTATCTACTTGGTACCATACAATAGAAAATGGTACTTTATTAATAATGAAGGAATATAATAACGTTAAGATAGTTCTCTTTGCATACACACGGCGCGATGTACCTGAAATGAAGCAAAAGAGAAATTTTCAATATTGGCACTTAATACCTCGACCATCTAACGCGATCAATCATTTATCAGATTGTTTTGTGTGATTTGAGTTAACTATTTCAAAAAGGATTATTAACGACAGTGATTTGGTAGCGGGAAACGTTGCCCTATCGGCCGGTGCATTACATGTATCCTTGTACTCGTTAATATTATCGGAAGTGATTACTCTGCGTTTTTTTTTTTATACTGAATAGTTACTGAACCTGTGACAAAGTTGAGATATGCATTCAGTCAACGGAGCTGGCGATTTCCGATTTCCGATTTTCCGTCAAGGGAGTTTTGCCGATATATTCGTTGCTGAGAAGTTAACCCATTGTCAACATAATGTTTTGTCGTGTTCTATGGCCGTCGATTACACGAAATGTGGCAAAACTCTCCGCATCTCGTTCCACAATAGACCAACGGCTCAATCTTAGGATTGTCGCTAATGTTTTACACTGCGCCAAGAACTTCCGTCTTCATGGCGTTGTTTGAGCATAGAAAGCCAGGAACGATTCGTGACGGCCACATACATGCTAAAACTACATCCAATTATTAATATGATTTTATAGGAAAAAAAAAAAGACAGCCGTCTGGGAATTTTTTCGTTGCACGATGCAAAATGGGCAATAGGGAATTACTATACACAGCATCGTGAAGTAAGTTGATACCTTTAAGGACAGTATTTGGCAAAGGTCAAACCGGAACAGGATATTAGGCTAGGCAAGGTCTCATAGAAAAGAAGTTCACGGATTGCCTACCTCGTCACTATTTGTTGTACGCAAGAACGGCTAGGTTTTCATTCGCGATCGTAAGTTCCGCTTGTACTTGCATCAGTCATATCGGGAAACGTTATCGGTTATCGTCGATGATTAATATTAAGATGTGTGTAAGCGTCTCCTGAATGATACCAACCATGCTAAAGGAGTCCAGCTTTATGAACGGAGGCTTAATCCGCTCTATAAAGTACCTATAAATCGAAAGGCGCACTACCCAGCCCAGTAAAGTGGGGGTGTTAGTATCTGCTGAAAAACGAGGATTCTGCAAGCATATAAAAAAAGCCAGAATCCGTCAGAGAATTATAAAGAACCACCTTCCACCGCAATGTGAATGTCTCCTAAACTGAAAAAAAAGCATAGTTTCTTGATAAACTTTAATTAGTAATGCAAATAATAAAAATCATAATACTAAATACTTTATTTTCGTATTGTGTGAATGAAAACTGCAATCAGAGACGAGCTTTTGAACGTTTTATAGCGTCTGCTAAAAATATCCAAATATGTACGTATATTTTTATACGAACGGGAGCTGGTGTTGTTTGTATGGGATTAAATGGGTCAGGAACATGCTACTATTATGTTACTGAGTAGCTAGACATATTGCATAGAATGCACTTTTAAACCTGGTAAAATAATCACTTCTCCGCTCGACTTCTCAACTCGATGATACTTCACACAGTGATAATGTCCATCACAAGGGATCTTTTGTATAATCTCACGTAGTTATTATTAGAAAGACGGGCTCCCCACTGCGCTCTTCGGATTATATCCAGCTGAGTGTTCTCAGACGTGATGTATAAGTTAAAAAGAAGTTATTCATTTAAGTCGATCTGCATACAGGAGAGATATAGCAAACACAGTGGATCAAAAGATCCTCACCAATCAGAACACGACTAAGTTTCTGCTAGTATTAATCATCGATTCAGATTTGTGATCTTCTCCATACCTATCGCAAATTTCGACGAGACTTGAAGCAACTTCGGAAATGATAATATATCTAAAGAAAGTGGTTAACGGTCAGTAAGTTATTTCAGAGCTAAATAACGAAATGTTAACGCCCATTCTTTGGAAAAAATGAGCTTTACGATCTATTGAAGTTGTACTTACTAGTTCGTAGCTGGATAAAGACGAATCGTCAACTGTAAAATCAGAAGTATATAAAAAAAAAATAAGTATTATCAATTTCGGTTTTCATCAATCGCTTTAAAGTATAAACATAAATGTTTTACCTCGGACGTTTTTTCATCTTGTTTACTACTATTTTACCGTGTTGAAAACGATTGCAACAATTGGACTTTTTTTCTACATTGACATTATCGTTTTATTACGATAATAACCAGTTTACACTTGTTTGTATTGAGAGGCAAATAATATCTACAGGTTCAATCGATTCATTACAAAACAACCCACAAAAATTATCAAAGAATATTTTTTGTCTTCTTTTTTTTTTTTTTTTTTTTTGTTAATCATTCATTTAAATTGGTTTTCAGTTTTTGACCAACTTAACAGATATCACAGCCCTATCTTATATACTACAAAGTTTTCACTTAGCTAGAAATTTATAAATGTAAAAAAAAAGTGTACAACTTGTTGTGAGGCGAAGGTACAAATGTATCTTCTTTGATCGAATTAGGAGAAAGGCGTCTGATGCATACAATATTTTCTAATCAAACCATTACCATTACGTGTTCAGCTAATGTGACTTCTATCAGGAAGCGTAATAGCTCGGAAGGGACGGCGTCGAACGATGTTATTTTACTGTTTTTTTTTTTTTGATATGATGTGCCATTGAATCAAGATCATCACGTCCTGGTCGCATTGTCCGTTTATACGCATGTGGAAACGCAAGTTCGTTTTCGATATCGTCCGGCAACCCATCTTCTCAGATCAGCGTTTCGACGATCTTTCCAAAGAGTTATTAGATATGGGATCGAGACCACTAGCGCCTGAATATGCGATCTATTATAGAGGCTGATATTTTTCAATGAAAAATATGTCATGAAACGATATAATTTCATCGTTAATGTAACATTCTCGTCAGATGATATTGTTATAACGCTAATTTGCCATAAAGCTGTGTTCTTCCTGTGCGACCCTTGCTAGTTAAAAAAAAAAAACGACAACAAAATGGAAGATAACGACTATTGCTGTGAAAACTGCTCATGCGTAAGCCATATTTACGCACCTCTAGAGCAACGAGGACCGTCAATCCAATGTAAGTTCTGAAGGTTCCACCAGCTTCAGTGAGAACTTTGACGTACGTTATTTTTGGGTTGTTAGTTAGAGTTTCCGACGTGATTGCCTGTAAGCATTTTTAGTAAACGTTTTCTGTTTGATTATATGCGTTGCGTTAGCCCACGAATAGGTTTCATTGTATATTAAATGCATCGTGGAAAGCCTAAGTGAACATTGACACTTGGGTCAAAACTTCTGGGCACCGCTGAAGCTATAAGGCGGTCTCGATTCCGTCCTGAACCTACTTTATCAATACTCTTCGTGTTTCCACTATCAGGTTGTTGTTGACGCACATCTGCCATGTTCTCGGCGATGTCAATGACTAAATGCCGGGCGGAGTCATTAATACTCGTATTAACAATGCCTTTTAGCATAAACGAGCACCCAAACGAGAGCTCCAAATGTAATCCAATATATTTTCTGTTCCATTTTATCTGATGATAAACTTCATACAGATGTTACCGTTAAGTAAAGACATCATCCGATCATCACCTGGTGGCGCTTAACGGCAACTTCAGACACTGTAAAGTATACAATTTTTAGTTTGATTCTTTTAGATGAATCATGCTAACTAACTATCCACATGTCCCTTTTACCCCTGACGGCAGTAGTTGAATAATCAAAACGTTAGGTATTCGCTGTTTACTTTGAAATACAGAATAACCTTAGCAGCCATAAAACATGCTCAGTTGTTCCGGCTTCACGTTTGTTGTCTTGCCAACGACTTCGTAATGTGGCATGTTCAAACGTCACACCATTACAGGGGGGCCGGCACGGCTGAGAACACCTGATGAAATGTCTGAAAAGGCGTAGCTTTCTGTGGTTATTTATCCTTCTTATTTTGAAAAAAAAAAAAAAAAAAGGATAACACATGTATTTAAGACAAGTTGACTATGTGCATAAGAGGTTAATGTTAGTTCGCCCATAGAAAAGAAGAAAAGTTTGGACATAAATGCTAATAATTAAATCTTGAGTAGTATCTAAGCTATTATTATTAACCAACCAAATTATCCTTAGAGAAACTCACTAGCACAGGAAGACATTCGAAAATATAGCATTGATTTGCTAAAAAAAAAAAAAAAAAAAAAAAAAAGAAAAAAAAACCGGGTAATACAATATCTTTATGTATGACCCTTCCACTTCGTATATAGAGCTGATTTAAAATATGCCCAATGGAGGCAAACATTGCCGTAAAACATACGATACTGCGTTGTCACCAATTATAGCCTTGTTTGTCTACAGTTGCTGTGAAAGCATGGCTCAGCGAGCTGGAACGTCCTACGATCGCCTTGCCTAACCGAAAACGAGAACAGGTGCGTTTGATTTGGCTGGTCGTAGATCGCTATAAGGACGTCTGTCAAGAAACGCCAGTACCACTCAGTAAAATTTAAACTAAGACTGCAATTAATACACGTAATTTTTATTACTGGAAAGCTTAACGCGTGGCTGAGTGATGTATCGAAAGCAGAAAGAGCTGCACGTCAACAGGTCTGTATTATTACCTTTGTTGGTCCGTTTTACCGCTTTCAACCTGCACTGATCATGTGAAATCTACTAGAGCCCGTTATTTGAATTCAGGAAACAGTCTGAGAAAGAAATATGTCGGATCTAAGTAAAAATATATTGAAAAATAGACTTAGATGGCAAAAATGCGTAAGCCTGCTTACCGTCAATAAGTGCTGGGCATGGTAACACACTACTGTGTTATAACTTTAATTGATACCGATCAGCAGTCACACACTCACCAATCTAAAAGTAAGTCCAATTTTTTTGTCGGTCACCGAAATAAGTGAGACGTATATTAACATAAACGTTCATAGGGACTCGGAACGAGCTCCGCTAGTAAGCGAAAACAGCTTAAGCCATATAAAAAGTTAGATTACCTGGAATCATGAGAGGGTTTTTCTTATTTAGAAAGAGTGACGGAACTGAATGTTGCGCAGAATCCGTACTCTTGACGATTTTATCGATTGCTAGTGAGGGAGATATGCTTCATTAGATTCGTACCCCATTGATGATCTTTTGCTGGCTGGCGTGGACACATGTCTGTTGCAAATAACTGAAGTGTGGTCCGTTTCACTGGTTAGTGTATACAGAATCTGGGTCGATGCAGTAGTATCTGAACATATATATGTTATACATTAAAAGGTTGTTACACTAAGTAACGAACGAACCCTAATGCTTTATGACAATTTCCATAGAATTGACGCAAGGAGTCAGCCGGCTGATTATGGTTTACATAAATATCGGAAGTATTATCGGCACAGCTAGATCTTCTAGACGTTTCTAAATTTCTCTAGAGTGTTCTCCAATAGTTATTGCCTATGGATCACATCATTCGAAGCCTTCATTTTTTGACAAAAGCTTAGATTGTACGTGAAATGAAAGATTTGACCTAGTCTAACGCCGCCATCCGGATAACGTCAGTACAAGCTCCATGTTTCAACCTAACACTCCAACTTTAATCACAAAAAAATCACTTTAGTACGAGATGAAGCCGAAGCCCCCTCACAATTAACAGGTCCGCATTTATATATCGTCTATTTACATAAGTCACCTGCTTAACAGTTTTACTGTAATCTGATAAGTTGAATTTTCTTATACATTGTATCTTGAAGAGTTTATACAGAAACTAACCCTTCTTCTTGGTTGACGTAGTCCATTTCATTTGGCCACTCACTAATACAGAAATCTGGTTGAAGTCGCGCCTTTCGTTCGGTCGACACCGACCTTAGAGCAATATACGTTGTCTGATCGATAGGTAGGTTTATAGAGCCTAGGAATTAAATAACGGCCATAAATATAAAACGATATTTTTGGCGTTGTCTTCGGGCTGAAAATATTTCGTTTTTGGACTACGTCCTTCTTTTTTTAGCAGTTGTTATTTGAAGTGCAAATGTCACTAAAGTGAAGGAAGTTTGCAACTTCAACGCTCCAGAACTACTGTTAGTTCATTCTATCATCAATAAACGAAGCCATTTCCTCCAACAAGTGGTCGAAGACTCTTTACTCGTTCGTTAATTCCTTAAAATCGCCTTTAATTGCTTGAGCTTATTTAATCAATGTGACATTTACATTATGGATGTGGATATTTTAGTCAAATGTCAACCAATTACTTTGGCGGTTTTGGAGGGTCAGAATCATTCCAAACGGACCACATACCGATCAGAGGATGGGCTGCAGTTCGGGGTTGATGAAATTTAAGCACAAACCCACTTTCATCGCTGATCAAAGCATGATGTGAGCACGTATCGAAACGAGGTCATATTGTCTGCCTGTCCAGACAAGATGCACGTAGGCTGAAAACGAGGTACATCACTCTGTCTGTATTTACATTCTCAAAAGATTTTCGCCCCATTCAAGGGAAAAGCGGCTCAATCTCTAAATAAAAATCCAGCTTGGACATTGTATAAGGAAGACGCGGATTCAAATTGAAGTTAGTTGTACTTCTTGGAGCAGTGAAGCAGCATGCGGATTATTACAAAATTGGCTTAGTTGAGTCCGGCAAACAAAACTACGGAAGCGTACCAAATCAGACGCGTTCAGCTTAAGCTTTGAGACGATTACCTTTAAAGCATCGATTTTTAGGTCTTGATCGTGGGTGATGTTTCAAAATAAGCATTAACACCGGCCCGCCTTGAGACCCATTGCTTGGACAGGCCATTCTGGCTTGCATAAGATGCCTTGTATTACGCATTGACGGAAAATTCCTTCTCTGCCAATGAATCATGACGACATCGAAAAGCTCGTCAAAGGAGATCCTCTCGTTTTTAATTATCAACTTCTTAATTCAATGTTCTATTGCTAACAAATTCCACTAGCACTTCGAGAGAATCAATTGAAATTTCTTTGGAAGCAGCTTCTACAGAGCATAACAATGCCAAAAACTGGTTTAGTAGGGGTACTTTTTGCAGCTGACTAAAATTGACTTTTTATTTTTATGACATTATTCAAAAGAAGTAGGCACCTGCGAAACGATTCTCTAATCCCGTTGGCAATGCTAGCCTGATGTATTTTCTACAGACTAATACGATGTTCAAATGCTTCCGATGTTTTAACTTACTATGATATTTCTAAGTATATCATTGTTTTCAAGCCTGCCAATGACGTCTTCGCGTGTCTGTGAACATAGGAAAAAAAAAACGTAGAAAGAAATGCTAAATGATAATGCGATTTTATACTGTAGTAATCCTACGACGCAAAGAAAATCATGAGGAGATCCACGTAGCTTTTATGTCATGTTCGAAGTCTCGTATGATGTCCGGCTGAATGAGTTGGTGAGGAATCATCTGCCTATATAGGTGTGCGGGGTCAGGTTGCTCCTGTTATCTTCACAAAGGTCTCCTAAAGCTGTGCGTTCTAATAAACTCCAGCTTCGGAGCAAACTACACTTTTGTTTGCATAGGGAGCGTTTTCGAATTGCAGATTGTAATTGCAGGAAAGATGTTAAATTTGGTGGATCCGTTACCTCTAGAACGTAAACGGCCCCGCTGGCTAAATACTCTCTAATTATAATAATGCTGATGTATAGGGTGAAAGCCACTAGAATACCGAACACAAAAAATCGAAATCTTTGTCTCCACGAGTCTCTCGTGAATGTGGTGCCTGTGGCCGTGTTCGAATAGCCTGATATCTTGACGAGGGGCGCTTTCTGTTCCGCCTTAACTGGAAAAAATCGAGAAGCAAAATTTGCCACCTGGACACGACCCGCCGCTGGACTTTTTTTTTTTATTCAGATCGTGGTTATTTTATTGTATCGCCTGCATTCATAGTCGTCCTGGCTTGCCTTGTTCAGGACTGATGTTAGAGTACACTTTCAACGTTGAAACAAAGATAGTTAAATTTCTCCTTGGCCAAAAATGGCCATTGTTTTGTGCTGGACAGACAAAAAGAACTGAGTTGGTCGTATTCCACTATGCACTATATTGGGCAACCTACCATATTAGGCCTGTTCTTTCCGGAATATGCAAATGCGAACCTTAGCTCGTACGGTAATGTTCGATGGCTGGAGGTAACTTCAAAGGCGAGGTAAGTATCAATGTAATATCTCTCGTAAATGTGAAGGCCACCGAGGAATTACTTACTTAGGTGACTCTGATTAGAGTCTGTGTAATAAAAGGCATTAAGTTAATCGTAATAAGAGAGAGAGAGAGAGAGAGAGAGAGAGAGAGAGAGACGTAACTACTCTGTTGTTCTGACTAATAAAAAGTAGTAAACATAAATGAGCTTGCTAACTAGAAGTCGCAGAACGTGTCGAATCTACGCCCACCCAATTCCATTATGACTAGGCATATCCGCTGCA